TCTCCCTGTGAGCAGTCAGGCCTCCCTTATGACAAGGTGGACCTATCCTCCCTCTGGTTTACACTACCTTGTGTTGGAGGGTGAGCAGTCAGTCGCATGTTTGCATGTCTGTGCATGTGTGGGAGTGCGTGAGCTGCACATGAGTATGCATGCACACATACACGTGTGTCCCTTATATGTGTGTGTAGATGCTAGTGTGTGCTGGATGCAGGAGGAGGATCTCCCCCCACTAACTTCCCAGCGGCTTTCCCCAGTGTAACAGCTAACATTCCTGTACCCTAGAGAATGCTCACCCCTGCAAGCTTTGATTTGATGTAGTCAAGACCTCAGGGACAGAGAAGCAGGAGACAGGTGAAATGAACCAAAGTGTGTTTACAGGGTGGCGGCAAGGACAACTGTCAAGGGGGCAGGGGGCAGGGGCAGTGCCAGCCAGCCAGGCCAGCAGAACACGCTGCCCCCCCCAGCTGGGAAACCCCACGGATCTGCCTGTGAAGCTGGGAGGGAGGGCTGGGGTCTGTCCCTGCGTGGAGGGCGTCCAGGACAGGTCATCTTCACAGACCTCTTCTACATCCAGTTCTGGAGGAACAGGAAGTCTTGCGACTTGGGGTCACTTCACCTGCCGTAGAACGCTGGGGTCAAGTGGACCACTCCCGGAGGGAGGAGGGGAATGGAGCAGGGCCGGGGTCAGCGGTGCCCCGTCCAGTGGTGCCCTGGAGCGGCTCCCTGGACTCCCCTCAGGCCTGCCCTGGCCATGCAGAATTTCTGACATGGATCCAGACCTCTGCCAGGAATGGCACCTCACCCACGCCCCACCGCTCATGGAGGGCACCGCACCGGCTACCTTGATGAAGGTGACAAAGCCGCTGTAGAGCAGTGTGAGGAGGAACAGGGCCACGAAGGTGCCCAGCATGGTCCACAGGCTGCTCTCCTTGTCCAGCTCTGTGTAGTCGTCACTGTTCTGGTCCTGGCTCTGTGGGGCCAGCAGCAGGGTGGTGGCCAGCTCTGGAAAGGAGCAGGCCCTCGGTGAGAAGGCCCCTCGGTGGGTCCCCCCTGCCCGGCCACAGCCGGTGGCGCCGCACCGACGGCACAGCTTCCTGCCACATCCCCCGCGGGCACCTGCTAGCCCTCATGCTCGCTCCCCGCTCTGGGCCCGGGGGCTCCGGGAAGACAGGCCTGAGCCCTGACTTGATGGAGATGACCTCACTGTGCCACAGTGAGGAGCAAGGGCCTGGGTGGTGTTCAGACAGGCCTAGACGCAGGACGGGCCTGCCAGGGGCGACCGAGGAGGGGCAGCGTGACGGGACGGTGCAGGACACAACCCGGTGGCTGGGGCCCCCACCTCTCTCTGGCCCTCTGAGAGTGAGCCATGGCACCAGATGTGGGCTGGTTCCCATCGCCCAGGGTCTGACTCTGGGCTCGGGGAGGACTTCCGGTGTGGACCATGCCTGTCTTTACCCTGACACCAGCGACAGGGTCACCTGACCAGGCTCTTGGGGAGCTGTGCAGGGAAAACGCCCACCCAGTGCCGGACATCCCGGGCCAGAACGCGGCATGCGACATGAAGGAAGCTAGCGAGGACTGTCCAGGATGTGTTCTCATAGGAGACATGGGAAACAGCACTGGGAAGAGAAGGGCTTCAAGTGGGTCCACCTGCAGCAGCCCAGGCCCTCCTTCTCCACAGAGCTAAGTGCTCCTCCTCCACACAGCTAAGTGCTCCTCCTCCACAGACAGAGCTAAGTGCTCCTCCTCCACAGAGCTAAGTGCTCCTCTTCCACAGAGCTAAGTGCTCCTCCTCCACAGACAGAGCTAAGTGCTCCTACTCCACAGACAGAGCTAAGTGCTCCTCCTCCACAGAGCTAAGTGCTCCTACTCCACACAGCTAAGTGCTCCTCCTCCAGAGCTAAGTGCTCCTACTCCACACAGCTAAGTGCTCCTACTCCACAGAGCTAAGTGCTCCTCCACCACAGACAGAGCTAAGTGCTCCTCCTCCACCACAGAGCTAAGTGCTCCTCCTCCACAGAGCTAAGTGCTCCTCTTCCACAGAGCTAAGTGCTCCTCCTCCACACAGCTAAGTGCTCCTACTCCACAGAGCTAAGTGCTCCTCCTCCACAGAGCTAAATGCTCCTCCTCCACAGACAGAGCTAAGTGCTCCTCCACCACAGAGCTAAGTGCTCCTCCTCCACAGACAGAGCTAAGTGCTCCTCCACCACAGACAGAGCTAAGTGCTCCTCCACCACAGACAGAGCTAAGTGTTCCTCCTCCACAGACAGAGATAAGTGCTCCTCCTCCACAGAGCTAAGTGCTCTGCCTCCACAGACAGAGCTAAGTGCTCCTCCTCCACAGACAGAGCTAAGTGCTCCTCCTCCACAGAGATAAGTGCTCCTCCTCCACAGACAGAGCTAAGGACTCCTCCTCAGACAGAGCTAAGGACTCCTCCTCCACAGACAGAGCTAAGTGCTCCTCTTCCACAGACAGAG